GAGAGACAAAGGCCGCTAACGCTGCTTGGCTGCCCAGCTACAGGGAGGAGCGTCCATCTGTAAGGCAGTCAGACAGCTTCCAGTAGGGCGCTGAAAAATGGCCATGGTGACAGGCACCTGGAAACATGGATTATAGGCTGGAGATAGTGGCATCAGCGGATATATGGTAGCGTAAGTTATGAAGATGAAAAGGGAAGGTATCCTATAAAGTTCTCCTGGAAAAGGAAGAAGAAAATATCGAAGAAGGAAAAAGTGGTCAACAGTACCAAACACACCGAAGTTCAAGAAAGATTAATTCTAAGCACACGCAAAGATGCTCAACAATAAAGACAAATACTATATGATCTCGCTTATACGCAGCACCTAAAAACAGAACAAAAAAAGGCAAACTCATAGAAAAAGAAATCAGGTTTGTGGTCATCAGAGGTGGGTGGAGGGGGAATTGGAGGAAGGCGGTTCAGAGGTGCAAACTTCCCGTTATGAGGCACATGAGCACGAGGGATGTCACGTACGATGACTAGTTAACCCTGCTGTGGGATATCTATGTAAGGCTTTGAGAAAGTCAGAACTTTTAAATTGCTAATTTTTTGCTAATCTCTCCATCCAAATGAACCCTGGGTATCCCAAACTCTGTATTTTTAAGTCCGACCCTTACCTTCCCATTCCCCTTCCAATATGATTTTTGTTTAAATATTTATTCTTGCAGCTTGAATGACAGTTGGGCCTAACAAATTTATTCTTCTCTTGCATGCGTGTGGCACTCTGCTAGGCCATGGGAATACAAAGATGAGTGAGACTTGGTCTCTGGGAGGCCCCAAAGTGGTGGGAGAATCAGATATATAAATAATTATATATGACACAATAAGAGCTATAACAGTTGATTTAATTGTGCTAGCGGGCCCAGAAGATTTAAAAATGGGTATTTGGGGCAATTTGAATAACTTTTCATGAAGAGATGATGAGCTGGTCTGGAAATAAGAATGGAAATTCACCACTGAAAGGGAAGAAAGGGCATTCTAGACAGAGGGCAAAGACTGTACAAAGGCATAAAGAAATGGCGGAGGCTATTTCGTGCAATGTACTGTTGAGTGCGGCAGGAGTCTATAGTAGGTAGGAGAGCCAGTCACTGGAGACGAGACTAGAGATAAAGGGGTCAGGCCTGCTTGCAAAAGGTCCTGACATCTAGGTACTCAGATGAGAAAACTGAGGTGCCATGACTCATACTCTACCTGCACACAGAAGCCCTACATTTACATATGAATCTGACCTCAAGGACACAGCTGGAAACCTTTCTCTTCTACTTGCAGAAGCTGTACTGTTTTCCCTCTTTAAAGATAAAGATTTCTTCCTCCCTGCCTTTCCAGTTTTTTAACCAAAATATAACGAACACCTCTACAAACACCTCTACCTCTATGATAGGTCTGTAGACCAAGTCGAAGCCTCACACACAGCACACCTCTGCACAGGCTCCGCCCACACCAAATGGCTCTCTCTTCTATTTACCGAGGCCACGTCTCCCTCCAGCGACTCTGCATGTGATTGTTTCATATCAACAGATTAAGACTCCAAATTCTCCAGAGAATACGTAAAAAGTGGGGGAAAAAACAATATGCAGTGGACCCTTGACCAATGCAGAGCCTAGGGGCGCTGACCACCCATGCAGTCGATGCTCCGTAACTGCAGCAGGCCCTCTGCATATTCGGATTCCCAACCACCAGCTGACCCTGGAACAACCTGGCTTTGAACCTCAAGGATCGACTGAAAAATCTGCACATAAACGGACACTCGCAGTTCAAACCCATGTTCAAGGGTCAGCTGTATCTTAAATGACTAAAATGTACACTAGCTGACTTCCATGACCCCAAAATATACTAATACATTATAGGTCCTTTAGTCAGTCTCATCTAGTCTGAACTTAAGCCTAGTAGGGGATAAAGCAGGATCTGCAAGGTGACCTCCGCACTCAAAGAACAGATGATTCTTACCATTGTAGGTTGCGCTGTTTTTCACGATGAGCTCCAAATGCTCTCGGAACTCTTCCCGAGACGGGTAGAGGCGCTTACGCACATTTTCACGGAGTGTTTGTAAGTCCATCGGTCGAGTGATGATTTTGTAGTAATCCTTTACAACCTTCGCATTGACTGGAGTGTGGAAAGGGTATGTCTGCGCAAACAAGAGCCAGCACCATCCATAAGCAAAGAACACTTGTCAGAGCCAATTCCTGAACACTCACCTCTACCTGTCTACCTGGCCATCGACTCGCAAAAGAATCTGTCTAGATGGAAAAGGTCTGTTTCCTCTACTAAATGGTTTAAAAGGAAAAAAAAGCCCCAAAAAACATCCCAAAAAATTAGGAGTTCTGGGTACCCAGGAGTATACTGCCCTCTCTCTGAAGTCACAGACAGAACGGAGCCATCATTACTGTAGATAGGAATGCAATGAACTCACATTTGGAAGATCTCTCATGTCATTGATGATAGACTCCAAGATGGATGACAATGTCACCATGGGGTCTGTCCGACGCCGGTGGATAGACTTATGAGGTCTCTAAATAGAAACAAAGAAATCAGAATACTTCTACACATTAAAAAATACTTCACTGTGACCAAAACTTATTCAGTAAAGTGCTACTCTTTAAAATTAAAAGAAAACAAAACAAAAGAAAAAAAAACCCAATACTTTCTAGCTAGACAAATACATTCTGGGAAATCTTGCACTAAACAGTACACATAATTTTCAGGGCAAGGCCAAAGGGAGACTGTATGGCTGTGTCAGAGCCATGAGTCAGAAGGCTGGGGGAATCAATGAGAACCCTGTCTGGTCAGAAACAAGGCAAATACTCACATTCAAATAGTCACAGTGAACAGTGGTTCCAACTCGTCGTTTCTTCTTGGGAGGAAGTTGCTGTTTAGGGAACTTGAGAACCAGAGATTTCCTGCGAACTTCATCTGCACTGAAATCAATAACACTTTCATAGTTTGCAGTCCCTATTTCTAGTCCCCGGAAAAGCAGCAACTACACTGGAAAAGTCCAAGTACCTGAGTGTGAGCCTGAGGAGGAGAAAGCCAAACCAAAGGCCAGACGCCCACATCCTAAGGGCTCATCGGGTCTCCAAACTTGTAATAAAGAACTAGGCAAGCCACAGCTTCACCTCAGTTTCCTATTTGGAAATTAAGGGAACTAGGCTAAAAGAACTTCAAGGATCCTTCTACCTCCAACATTTTATCTTAAGGGTAAAGGGCGAGGAAACAACTTATTCAGAATGGAAACAAGGAGGAAATTAAAAATTGGTTTAAAAAGAAAAACTAATTTGAGTTCCCCTCAATCCCCACCTCGTTCCCTTCCATTGTATGGGACTGAGATAGATTTTCCTTGTCTAATGTGCTTCAAAACATGACTATTACACTGATAAATCAACGAGGACAGAAAAAGAATCTAAAACTTAAAAACTGAAACAAATATAACCGAATATCACATTAAAAACTACACTCCGAAAACGATTCAAATTTATTTTGAATATAAAATAGCCTGACCATACAACTTCAGTGGCATATAGTCCAAGGACAACAAACTAGAAAAAGCACCTTGACTCTATAGGTTAGTTGTTAGTAGGGGAATTGGTATTCTAACTCTCAAACTATTTTATACGTATCATAGGGCAGAGAAAATGAATAAATATATTGACATTGGGAACCAGAGAAAAGAAACCAATATGAAACGCGGGAAGACGAGGAAGAATCTGCAGATATAACTTGAACTGGAGGTACTGCCATCAAGATACATGTCTATTTCCTAGTTCTGCCCGCTAACAGCCTAGAAGCAATGACATCTCAGTGGCAATGAACATACCTAATGCCCAGATCTTGGTTTCTAAATACTATTCTCCAAGAAACAGATTCAAGACTCTTTTAGAGAAATGGCTGATCCTAGTCTGGGACAGGAAAATTTTGAGGTGAGCCTGGAACCCCTTGTGCCAGAAAGCCAAGAAAGAAGTTCTCAAAGATTTATAGGGCCACTTCAAAAGGACATAGGATGTGGCCTGAAGGGGTCAAATCTGGAACAATATGGGCATCAAAATTAATAATGAGGCTAATGAATTATACATTACACTAAGTTCACAAAGGAAAGAAATTGCAGAATCCACAGTAGTATGCAAAAAGAGAGGGGAAACTCTTTACAGAATGGCCAGCTAATGTAGAAAGAATGCTAGAATTAGAAAAACCATTGTTTTGCAACCGCAAATGTAGTAACTGAGGTAAACGATGATCATCATTGCATGCTAAAACTACTGACGGAATGACTATCAGGGAACATGACATTCGCCCACATGTTAATTACAAAGGAGAAAAAATACCTTTAATATAGAAGAATCTGGGGACTGGCACTTTAACAAGATGATTAAAACAGTAAGAAAACCTGACATTATGTGCTTCCTGATGCGGTGTGTTAACGTACATAGTATCACCTATGTAAGTAATCTTGCCAAAGACATTCAATCCGAATATAATCAATGAGAAAACCAGCCGATAAAATCAAGAATGTGGGATATTTTATGAGACAATTGGCCTGAACTTCTCAAAAAAATTCAATGTCACGAAAAACAAAGGATATGAGGAAGACGATCTAGATTAAGAGCGACTCAGAAATACTTAATGTTCAAACTGGGATTGGATCCTGAATTGGGGAACAGGCGACACCAGGACATCAGGATAACTAGACATTTGAATAAGGGCTGAATGTTAGATACCGTTGAACTAATGTCAATTTTCCTACAGTAACAGTATCATGTTTTGATGTCCTTATGCTAAAGAATTTCTAAGTGCAACATCATGATGCCTGCAACTTATTTCCAAACAGGTCAGGAAAAGAAGTTTTTTTAGACCTATAAAGCTGAAACAGATGTGACAAAAGTTAACAGTTGTTAAACTTAGAGAAACAGTACACTGTATTATTCTTTCGACTTCTCTGTCACTTGCATTTTCCAAACTATGAAGTTAAGGGAAATTTTTTTTCATTTAAAAACTTCTGCACTTGATTAAGTTCTCTTGGCAAGAGACAGGTAGGTATAAGCATAGTTTACGTCTCGCTAATCTTTCTGGTCATTAGAACATTGTGAAATTAGGGACCTCACAGATATTATGAAGGTCTGGAAGTAGAACAGGAAGAACATCTACTGTGCTTCATACAGCCTCTCCCGTTTTTTTCACCTTCATAACTACCCCGGTGAGGGTGGTCTTATTTTGTAAAGGAAACTGACCCCTAGGAAAGGTAGGTAGCATGCCCAAGGGCAAGTGGTGGAGCACGATGAGTGCTTTATGACAAGAGAGTCTCATTTTCACTGCTGCCAACAATTACTGAGGAAAATCCAGTAACTGTCCCTTACCTCTCAATGAGCTGCTTCCCCAAGACAATCTTGGTCCCTTCGACCTTGATCAGTTCTTCATTATCATTATGAATGACTGTCTTTTCCAACTCCTCCTCCTGCTCCTCTGTCATGGCGACAGGATTAGAAGGCGGAGCATTCGTTTGGTAATAGAGGGGGCAGAATTTGTTTGTCCTCATGTGTCCGATGGCACCACAAGCCCCACATTTCAGCTGCAAAAGGAAAAGTATCAGTATGTCAGAGGTAAGCACGCTGCATGACGTTAGCTCTAACACATACATACGAGGCAAGAGAGAAGCAAAGACAGGCTCAGAACTTTTGTTCTAAATACAGCTGTCAACAAGAAGCCACTGGACAAAAGTGCACATACGGAAACGACATTTAAACAAATCCAGAGACAACGAACGTTTCCTTAAAATCAAGAAAGAAAGAAAGCAGGGAGGCTTTCCACCCCCGATTAAAGTAGTAAACTGTGACAATGCTACGTGTGCAGGAGAGAGGCTGCTGGCCAGCACTGGCAGCCAGCGTGGGCATGTTCCTAGCCCCTGGGAAAAGGCTCGGTAATAACAAGTCTCCATCTTAGTTTCGCAACTGACCCGTTTCATCTGTAAAATAGGGTCAATACTGTATCCTATTTCTGTAACGTCACACACGAGAAAGGAACATTAAAATACTTGAAGGACCTCAGTACGTGTTAACAGCAGTCTACGCTCGAGAATTTTATTGTTTGTAACGGCCTTCCCATGCATTCTATTCCTTCCTACGACCACACTGAGACAGGTATCACTTTATAGAAAACAGGTTGAGAGAGGTTAAGAGCAGAGAGCTATTAACTGGCAAAGCAGACCTGAGTCCCGATCTTCCATTTGCAAGTCCACGGCTCTTCCCACTGCACCACAGCCGCTTCACTTTACAGTGCACATTACAGCTACACTGCATAGTAATATCTGGAATCCTACCTAAGTTGTGCAAAGCAACCTGTATTTTATGTTTGTTTCTCTTGCTTTTCATACATACAATTTAAAAACAAGATGTGTATGTACATATGTATGTACACACGCACATAAACGTACACGTAGAAACCACCAAGCCTAGCTCGACTCCTAGAAAATATTTCCGATGGATCGAGTAGGAAATGACACCCAGTGGACCCAGATTAGGTCTGATGTTGTCGATACCGGTCGTACTAGTGCTGAGAACAGCCAAGTAGCCCTGTCACTTCGAACCAGCTTTTCGGGATACCGCCCTCATTCCTAGGAAGCGATGGGGGAGGGTGTTTTCTTCCTCTTCGTCGGCGACGGCCGTGCCACCCTAGACTTACTTTGAGGTCAGGACGCTCCTTCATTTTTTTGGGCTTCTTCTCAGGAGGACCCTTAAGCTTCTCCTTTTCCTGGTTCCGCTTAAGCCGCCTCAGCTGCTCTTGAATCCTCCGCCGCTCTTTTCGCATCTCTTCTCGATGCTGTTCGTCAAAAAGGGCAAATTTTCGGCTGAATAACGGGGGAAACAAATCACAGGACCATGAGCAAACGCGAACCGAGAAGACTGTCGACACCGCTACACGGCTCTGAACTAAAGACCTCCGTCCACGCTGAAACGACAGGGGCTACCTGGCAGACCCGTCCCCCCGCCCCGCCCACGAGCCTTCCATCTGCAGTGCCACCTGTCTCGGGATGAGCATCATCTCCGAGGTTCTTGCCAAGCAGCTAACCAACCAAGCAAAATGCAAAGGACCCAGGCGGAACCGAAAATACGCCTTTGTCCCGCAGCAATTCGGAATTCCCCCTGGGATCTGACTCTGGTGAAACCCAAAGCTCTAAAAGGCAAGATGGTTCTCGACTAACAGACTTCCGGGAACGACTGCAGGATCCTGACGCTCTCATCACGGTGGAAAGCGGCGAGCCAAACTCACATGAACTCCTCGTCCTTCGTGGTCCGGATGCGCACGTAGGCATCTATGACCGCGGGCTTCCGGACCGTCTCACAGCGAACATACTCCTTCCCCTCTTCATCTCGAAATGTGCGATAAATCTTGAGACAACGGCCAGTGGCAGAAGAGTTAAGACTAGTCACAGAAGCTGTGTCATCATCTCTGTGATTGTTTCCTGCTGCTGCTGAGCCTGCTGCTGCAAGGCAGAAAAAGATTTCCACACATTCCCCCTACCACCCAAATGGCCATTTTCTTGGGGTTGCGTGGAGGCCTCGAAGCTCAACATGCACACGAAACTATGGTTCTACAGAAAGCATTGACATCCCCACCGGCCCCCAAATATACTGATTTGTCCTTTCCTGGTTCCATCTTACCACTGCCAATGTTCCCACTTTTCTCAGTGCCAAAAGTTCTGAGAGGATCTCAAAGAACTATGTTTGTTACAGGGGACAGAAGAGCAGTAGCTGTGTTGATTCCTCGGAGCCACACGCAGTGCAAGAGGGAAACCCAAGCAGGAAGCGGTTGATGAGCACATTAAAGAAAAGCACCCAAGCACCCAGGGGGGGAAATGGCACCGCAGAAACAAGTCCAGAGTCTTAAGGCCTAGAGTATGCTTCTCAAACTTTAATATGAATCAATAGGAATCACCTGAGGATCTCATTAAAATACAGATTCTAATGCAGCAGCTTTAGGGTGAGGCCTGAGATTCTGCATTTCTAACAAACGCCCACGAGATGTAGATACTGCTGGTCCAGGACCACACTGGTGAAAAGGCTTTATCACATGTTTACAAAGTAGTCAAAACAACAGAATTATACAAAGTTTTTACAGAGAGAAAGAAACAAAGGAAAGACTATTATGAGTGAGAATAGTCATTTAAACCTTCAGCTTCAGCCTTTATCCTCCCTCTCAGTATCTACATCCAAGCTTTCCACTGCCTGCTGGACACCGTCCCGGGAAGGGGCCGGGGACCTCCACCCCGCACGCTGCGCCTTCCCTTCTGACACCTGCTTCTCACTTTGAAAGGTACTACTTGAACCAGCGGTAGGTACCGCGCCCTTCGGGCGAGCCCCGAGGTGAAACCTTAAGGTCACCTTGGTTTCTCTCCTCTTTTCATTCCCAATGTCCGTGCCCCAAACCAGTTCAGGCCTTTAGCACCCCCACCCTCCACTTCTGCCATTTTTGGTTGCTTATTTTAAACTTTTTAGGGTCTAAGACCTCTTTGAGAATCTTCTGAAAGCATGGATCTTCTCCTCAGAAAAGGCACATTTGCACAGAATTTTACATGTGATTTCAGAGGGTTCAAGAACCGCCCTCAAATTTACCCACAGATTCTGTATTAAACACTCTCAGCCTCTAGGATGAACGCCCAGAAAGCTCACTTGACATACAGTACTGAGACCCCTGGCTTGGCCAGGCCTGACACAGACAGAGGCAGTAGCAGATGTGCAGCATCTCTTCAATTTGTGCCCAGACAAACCTAGAGTCCAGTTTTCAGGAATCTCTCCCTCATCTACAGGCTTTTCTACACTCATCCCCTACTTCTTCTGCCTCCAGATTTGCCTCGGTTATTAGTGTCAAGTTATTTACACATTTTCGATCCTCCTCTTTTTTGCCTGTCTGTCTGTGAAGCCACTACCCTCACCCAGTAGCATCCGCTGTAGTTCCTTCCGCTCCTGCTCCTCCCGTTCACGTGAAAGCTGAGAGCTGGTTTTTTTATTCTGCAACATGTTCTCGATGTTCTTTCCCATTTCTTCAAAGTCACTGTCTTCGGCTGAGCTGCTGTCTGTGTCAGTGGATAAGACTTCAGTTGATGACAAAACCCTAAAAGGAGAAAAAAACGTTAACTTACATGAGGAAAAACATTGTAGTGTAGAAAGAGTTGAAAAAATACGGTTTCAGTAGGCAAGAGTAGCAACTTGGCAAATCGACCTTAAAAAGGAATACTCGAAATCCACTAAGACATGTGGTCCTTCACAGAAAAGCTTTACAAAGCGTTCCTAGACAGTCAATCAACAAGGCAAGTTCGCACAGCATTTCACATTCAGAATTCCTGGAGAAAGCCTGAGAAACAAATCAGCACACTGCTCACTTTTAATAGGGTATTATCATCCTCTCACCAGTTAAGCCTTCAGGAAAAAAAAACACTACCTGTCCCCGATCACCACTGCGACGGCTGCCAAGCCCAAGGAGACCACAAAAGTGGTCATAGGACCAAAGCTCAAATCGAGTGCCTCTTGACAGTCGAAACCTTTGTCAAGCTGCTCTGAAGGCAGGAGGTTCTCTAGCAGTGTCATGCACAGATCCCACCCTGAAATGATCTTAGACACCTGACCAGCTAATCGTTTTGAGGTGACCTCCCAGTCATTAGGAAACAGTGTCTGGGACCCCACCCCCATTTCCGGCTTGGATTTTCTGCAGCTCTGAAACAACGTACTTGTTCTGTAGGTCAAAGATGCGCTGGCATTCCTCTTTGTAACGCTCTTGATGCTCAGCCACAGAAAACCTCGATCCACGGGCAAATTTACTCATGGGCCCCTCTCCAGAGCGGGCCTGCTCTGTTGACATTGTACGTACCACATCGATCACTTCCCAGCGGGACAACTTTTTAATCTACAAGAGGGTTTGACACACATGCATACACAGATCATTAAGGGATCTCAAAGAACCAAGGCACACGGTTAGAGGAACAGACAAAAAAAAAATTTACCCAAAAGTTAAACAGAAAGCTTTGGGAAAGTTAACTCCCAAAAAAGTATCCAAGATCCAGTTGAGTTCAACCCACACCACAAAACTCTTCAGGCAGTTCCTTCTACCTGCTTCCTGGCTTTTCCTTCTTCATACAAAGCCCCTAAAAGCCTCAAAGTTTTCCTGTTCCACACCCACCTCTTCCTCTGGCACACCAAATTTACGTAGCAGTTGCTTGGCATTTTTCAGGGACAGGCGACGGAGGTCTGCATCTGTTCCTGTCACTGTCTTCTTCACAGGCTGAGGCTCTTTATCATCCTACCTCAAAACCAGAACAAAACAGGTTAAGAAACCCACTAAGCTTAATTCCTTCTAGTAGGCATCTAAGTTCATCATGGCAGCTTAACTGCTCTCCACAACGCAGAGTACTAACCACTAGACGATCGCGACCATAACTGCTTTCCAGAGCCTCCACCCCATTCACCACTTCAACCTCCATTTCTGCGTCCCTTAATTTCCAGCTTCTGGGAATTCAGACAGTCTTACCTTTTGCTGTGTTGGTTTGTTTGGAATCTTCACATAGGAGAATCCTTCACCACAGCCCGTGGGATCTGCCACCCCAGTCACCTCCAGGAGACACTTGCCCTTCATGGCAGCAATGAAGGCCCTTGTGGTGTTCCAAGGAGCAGTGCGAACCTGAGGTATAAAAAAAGATCCTAAGAGCTGAGGGAAAGTTCACTGTATGTCCAGCCATACTTACAAGGCTGGAGTAATTACAATAATATACAATCTGATGCTTTCGTAAACTGTCCACAAAAATTAATAGTTACATTAAGTTACCCAGTACTTAGCTTGCTGTTCTTCTTTCCCATGGTACTTACACCATGTTATTGAATAGAAGGCAAGATCTCAGACAGTGCAAGGACTATGCGGAACCGTGGGACCCTTCAGCCCATTTTCCCTTGAGCTTAACTGAGAGTCCTCCAAGACCATGTTGCCTCCTCCCAATGCTCAGAGGCGAGTTAGATCGATGACTGCATTTGCGTGTCCAATTGCTCAAATGGCCTCTCTAGAATGACCTATACAGTCTCATGCTTTACAAACACTGGCCCCATCCCCAGCAGCACCAAACCAAAGACCATGTGTCACTGGTCAAAGCCTGTCCTCTCCTAGGACCCTAAATAGTATTTACTAACCCCACAAAATAACCAGGGAATTAAGACAAAGAGAATGTGCTCATCCACAAAGACCAGTCCAGATTATAAATGATTAGCTAGAAAGTGGCCAGTTCTCTATTCAAGATTTAGTCTTGAAGGCCATTTAACAGAACTATTAATTTCTAAAATTCTTAAGACATTCATTTTTCACTCCAGTCTCAAAAGAACAACAATGCTTCTGTTCCTGCTGTCTGACCTCATTTACAACCACTCACTCATAAATTTATTCATTCGACCATCTACCATACGCGAGCACTACTTTCTCACGGACCTCTTGTTAGTAAGGAAGAGACAACCAATCAACCAAATTCAACAGTACACGATCAGTGCTATGATAGGAAAGTAAAAAAAAAAAATGTGATTTTTATATAAAAGATGATGATCCAATCTGAGTGAAGGGTGTGAGTGAGGGCAAGAGTCAGGGAAACCTTCCAAGAGAGTATAGCTTGTAAGTGAAAGTTGACAGTACAAGAGTGAACAGAAAATATTCTAGGCAGAGGGAATGACAGCAGTTACAAAGTCCTGGAAGGCAACGAAAATAAATGTCGGGAACTGAATGGACTTAAATATGTTTGGAGCCTAGAGTACAAGATGGGCAATGACAGATGAGAGATTAGAGGCAGACGCAAGACCCAAGATCCTTGCAAATCATGGTAAGGACTTGTACTTTAAAGAAATAAGGACCCAAAAGATGTCTCTGGACAAGAGAGTGTAAGATCATTCAACTTTTTAACAAATAGTACTAGAATAATTGGACATTACTCACATGCAAAAAATGAACCTTAATCTATACCACGCGCCCTATACAAAAATTAACTCAAAATGGATCTAAATATAAGGTCTAAAAACAATAAAACTTTTAGAAAGAAACATGAGAAAATCTTTGTGACCTTGAATTAGATAAAAATTTCTTCGATACAACACCAAACCACGAGCAACAGAGAGGACTGACAAGTTGGACTTCTGCTCTTCAAAAGACTGTTAAGACAACTAAAAAACAAGCCACTGACTGGGAGAAAATCTTTGCAAATCACGCATCTGATAAAGGACTCAACCTGGAATACCTAAAAAACTCTCAAAGTTCAATAAGAAAAGAAGCAACTAATTAAAAATAAAAATAGGCAAAAGAGATGAACAAACACTAGATCAAAGAAGATAGCTGAATGATAAATAAGTGCATGAAAAGAAGCTCAACACTCTTAGTCATCAGGGAAATGCAAATTAAACCACAATAAGATCACTTCATGCCCACTAGGAGGGCCATAAACAAAAACAGAAAATATGTATTGACAAGGATGCAGAGAAACTGCCACTCTCATACACTGCCGGGAGGAATACAAAACAGTGCAGCCGCTGTGGAATATAGCCGGGCAGTTCTTCCGAAGGTTAAACAGAATCACCGTATGATGCAGCAATTCCACTTTTAGGTATTTATACAAGAAAAAAGGAAACATCTGTCCAAACGAAGATGTATACATGAATATTCATAGTAGTTTTATTCATAATAGCCAAGAACTGGCAACAATCAAAATGTCTTTCAGTGGTTTACTAGTTATTTAAACTGTGATACATTCATACTATGGAATATAATGTAGCAATAAAGAGTAGCAATCTATCAATATACATAATAGCCTGGATGAATGCAGATTTAAAGACAAGTATACTTTCAACAAGTGGTACTGGGAAACAGAATATCCACACGCAATATGAACGAGGTTGAACCTTCACCTTATACCACATATAAACGATTAACTCAAAATGGATCAAAGACCTAGACATAAGAACTAAAAATATAAAACTCTTAAAAGAAAAACACAGGGAGAAAGCTTCATGACACTGGCAACGATATCTTGGTATGGAATCAAAAGCACAAGACACAAAAAGGAAATTAGATAAACTGTACTACGTCAAAATTAAAAATGTTTCTTCATCAAAGGACACAACAGAGTGAAAAGGCAACCTATGGAATGGGAAAAAATATCTGTATGTCATACATCTAATGAGATTAATATCCAGAATATGTAAAGAACTCCTACAACTCAACAACAAAAAATAACCCTATTCAAAAATGGGCAAAGGACTTGAATAGACATTTCTCACAAGACATACAAATGGCCAATAAGCACATGAGAAGATGCTCAAAATCATTAATTATGAAGGGAAATGCAAATCGAAATCCAATGAGATACTACCTCACACCCCTTAGGATGGCTACTATCAAAAAAAAAAAAACAATAAATAACAAATGTTGGCAAGGGTGTGAAATAATTTAAGCTCTTAAACACCATTGATAGAAATGTAAAATGGTGCAGCTGCTTTGGAAAACAGTATGGATGTTCCTCGAAAACCTAAAAAAGAAATATCACATGATCCAGCAATCCCACCTCTGGATATATATGCAAAAGAACTGAAAGCAGGGTCTTGAACGGATAGGTAGCTGCACACCCATATTCACAGCAGCACTATTCACAACAGCTAAGACGTGGAAACAACCCAAATGTCCAACAGTGGATGAATAAATAAGCAAAATGTGGTCTATACATACAATGGAGTATTATTTAGCATTAAGAAGGAAGGAAAATTGTGACGCACAATATGACAGATGAATCTTGAGAATATTACGCTACAAGAAATAAACTGGTCACGTCAAAACAAAGATGTGTGATTGCACTTAGGTGAAGTACCTAGAGTAGTCAAATTCACAGAGACAGAAAGTAGAACGGTGATTGCCAGGGGTTGGGGTGGGACAGCTAGGGAAGTGGTGTTTATTGGTTACTGAAGTTTCAGTTTAACAAGATGATGAGTTCTGGACACTGGTCGCACAACAATATGAATGTATTAACACTACTGAACTGTACACTTAGAGATTAAGATGGTAAATTTTATGTTATGTATATATTCCCACAGTTTTAAAAGAATACATACTGTACGATTCCATTAATCCAAGATTCTAGAAAATGCAAACTAATCTACAGTGACAGAAAGCAGATCAGTGGTTGTCAGGGAAGAAGCAAAGTGGAGAGAAGACAGGGATTTCAACGGGGCACTGAGGAACTTCTGGGAGTGACAGATACACTCAAGATTTCACAGGTACAAACATACCCCAAGACATACCGAACAGTACATTTTAAGTATGTGCTGTTTATTCTGCATCAATGTTTCAATAAAGCTGTTTTTTTTAAAGGATAAATGAGGTGTACTAACAAAAATTAGTGTAAAGCCTTACTTCATCATCTATCTTCATCTGGAAATCTTCCTCATTTTCTTCTTCTGGAGCGAAAAAGGACTTTTCACCATAGCCGGCATCCTGGAAGAGGACAAAAATCATCCGTAAATCAATGGATAAATTGGAAAACACAAAGCACGAGTTTCAATGAACACCAAGTACAGAATACAAAAGCACATTGTGCATACGGAATGGATTCTGTACAGTCTTCGCTGTATCTGTCACCACTCTACATCCTTAGGCTGCCGGAAGATGTAGCACCACAGTGCAAGGGACTTACCAGCTGATACATGGCCCTTAGGAAGCTAAATGGCAATGCTCATTAAGTCAGTGGGACAGAGTCATACTACCCCACCCTAGCTAGATCATTCCAATCTTAGCCAGAGGACGACACTGGGCTTCTCTGAGCCACGTGTGGAGCACCATCATCATCTCTGGCCACCAGGAAGGTTGTGGAGAGAAACTGAGAAATACTTTCCCTGCTTACACACCTATCTTGTAAAGAACAGGGCCTACCCAAACGGATGAGCCACCCTTTTCAAGGCAAAAACAATGTGCCCTAAGTCCCTCATTAAGCCCTCCCACTGACATTTACAGTCGTTTCCCCCAGCACCAATGTACACAGAGTACCTCAGTTAGAATTTTGAAATAACTGGTAATAGCCTAGTAACCATCATTTCTACACCAGTGAGCGCCGTCCTCATCCTCGTCTCTGTGAAAACACCCACAGGCACAGGCTGTGCTGCAGAAAAAGGCGTTTACCTTCAGTCGCTGCTCCGCAGCTATCATGCTGTAATAAGCACAGCACTGCTCCGGAGACACCATAGCTCTGATCTCTTCTTCGGTGGGTAAGCGGAAATCCGATTTCAGCACCCACCAATTTGAGTCCATCCCTAGAAAAGATAGAGAGAGAGAATGAGACTCTGCTGAATTCCAAAGGCCCTGTTATTGACAGCAACATGGATAGCAAACCAAGACTGAACCAGGCATTGTTCTAGAAGGCAGCAGCAGGCCTAGACACAGTTAGCCTGACTGGCCAAGAAAAGCTATGCTGCTGGGTTTTCTACATTTCATCTAAGATCTCCAACGACCACGTTGCATTTCCTGGCAGGCGAAAATCAAAAAGCCATCAGAGCTTTCCTATGTAGATGACTTACTACACCTCTCCTCTTTTTGATGACTACCAATTTCTACTTCCAATTTATGAACTGTATGCTTATCCTTTAACTGAAAGCTGTAATCCCTATCTTGGAAAGAGGCAGAGAGAACAAATAATCCGCCACAACGGATGACCTGTGCGTTTGAAGTCAGCGCAGAGCTTCAGCCTCTTCCGGATGCTGCTTTCTGAATGGGAAGGAAAAGCTTTTTTTATATCTTCCATTCGAATCCGCCGTGGCCGATCTAAACTCTTCCAGAAGAGACGATAAATAAAAACCTGCCCGACAAACCAAATGCTTATGTAGCAGAGGAAACGATGAAAGTCCTCAGCAGGGCCCCTTCCACTTTTCCTAATGTGCCCCCACATATACATACCCTGTCATGTGCACCCCGATCCCCTCTCTGCCTCTCATTCTTACCTGGAGAAAGTCTCGAATATGCGTATTGGCCCTTTTGGAGTTGGGCCCAGGAACTTCGAACAAGGGGCACTGCTGGCCAACCACAAAGATATCCACCAATTCCCGAATATAGTAACCTTGTCTTGTCCGAATAATAAGAAAATCAGTTTCTGGCATTTTATGAAGATAAATTGGAGCACGAAAAAGATTGTTCTCAAATGCCTAGCAAAAGTGAAAACAGAGAATTTACATACAGAGAAGCCCTAGGACATTGAGTTGACTAATGCTAAAGGAAAATCGAGCTGATGTGCTCTCCGTCTGCATTCCACCATCTCAGATCCACCCAGCAATATAAACAAACTGTAATGTGGACTACGCAACGGGATCAGACAGGTAACTTCTTACCCACCGGCTATCTTTAAGCGTCAGTAGTGGGGAAGCGTAACGATTTGGATTCAAATGACACTGGCTGCTCTGCTGCTATTCACTGTCTAAGATCAGATATCTCTGAGCTTAATTTTCCTCAGCTACAAAACAGACACTTAAAATGCCTGTACCTCACAGGATTGCTATGGATGTGATAAAATTACTTGAAAAACTAACGAGTTCTATACTAGCTATCCTAGCCCCCAGCACAGACTCTAACATGATGCAGATGAGATCAAAGCATCCGTTAAATAAATTAAAGACCACAAAAAGTAGAAAGTGGGCTAGAGAAGACTAAATATGCAGGACTGAAACATCTGAGCTTGTTTAAATTAAGCAGCAGCCAGACAGGGATCAACTGTCTCAAGAAGCCTGTGACTCTAAGGAAAGAATTCTCAGAAAATCAGAAAAGTGGACAGGAGGAGGATCATCAATATGCGGGTATGGAAAATCTAAATATGAAATGCAGAAAGAATAAAAACTACAGAAGATAAAAAGGATCTTCAACAGACGACAGAAGTAGCCACAAAAGGGGATGGACTGGTAGAAAATCTCAAAAGGAAGTTACAGGGGGAGGGAGAATGTCAGAACAGCATAAAAACAATACTCAAAATGTGACGGGAAATGGACGATAGACGTAAAGGATGAAGAAGAAAAGGCTTTGCAGATGCTTTAGGAAAATGAGCAACAGTAACACGAGCATAAACTTGGTACAAGAGTAGGGAGAGCAGTTAAGATTGCTAAGAAAAAAATCAAGTGCAGGAGAAAAGGCAGGAAGTGCTAAAGATGTCCTCACATCACTGAGGGCCTCTAAGCTGCCCCTTGACAAAATCTGTAAAAGCCAGGCTACCAGAGGGCCTCTCTACACCCACCAGAACAAAGGAGCGGGGGGAACACCTTCACTCTGGCTGGAGACCGTACGGTTCAGGTGTGGCTCAATACTCAACATGACCGCAATTAATGTAATCAAAACATACCAATTTTACACATACAAATTAAAATTAACTGTAGTAAAATATCAATCCCAGGTTGACTTTCCTATTCCACCCAGGTGTTTCTGGACTTCTTACCAGTGTGTATTTTCAAAAAGCTACTTTTTAAATATCTAGTTCACGTGTTTACTTTTCTAAAGATTTTACTTTCTTCTTAGTTCCAAGCATACGGTCTATTTTAAATTTCATTTATGAATAAAACAACGAAGAGCCAGTTTTAATAAAAAGATCAAAGAAACTCCTAGATTGTCCCGCTCTCCCCCATATTTGACGCACGGATAGTATCCAATCACCTAGAATCGGTTCTTTCTACGCTGACTGGCTCCTCACCTGTCAACTACCCTAGGAAAAGTTGTAACAGGAAAGAATCCCTCACCTGCAGCAACTGGCCAGGATGGAGAGAGCCCAGGAAAGGAGATGTATGGCAGTACACGGTTTCTCCGTATTTACAGTCGGGGGCTCCGGGATCTTTTCCGGGTTTCTATAGGGAACAGCAGATCCCGTTACTATCACAGAACTTAATCAATAAACCTGCACAAAATATTCCACGAGCATGGCATTTTACAAACATATACTAACTGCAAAAAAGAGATACCCTTCCTTTCTCCCAAAAAATTTACAGCGTAAAAAAGACAAAATACGTGTTCATAAGTTATCACTGGATATCTAACTACAGCTACGTTAATAAAGATTTTCTGAACAGAGACTCACCCGCTTATAGTAGTTTTTTATCTTGGTTGCCATGCCAACTTGCATCATTAACGGTCCATTTTCCTCACTATATTCTGCTAGAATAAGATCTCCATCTTTGCCTGTGAGGTCCTGAGGAGTGCGCATGAAAAACATCTCTCCGCCACCTGAAGCTTGCCTCTCTTGTTCTCTCATCTGCCCAGAACAAAAAGAATACAATCCAGCTCCTGAAAGGACAATAACTTCACACATTGATGCTGTTCACTCTGAGACGATGACACCGAAAACAATTTCACCTTGCCTTTTTTCAATTTCATTGCAAAAGTTTTCAAACATATAAACATCATCCCATGTCCTAGATACTATGACTGTTTACATTCTTGCCCTTTTTGTTTTACCTATAACTCTCTCTAGAGATTCTGAACCATTTTGGAAAGTTGCAGTTATCATGATGCACACTTTACAGCTTCGATATTTCCACGTGCATCTCCTAAGAATAAAGACATTCTCCTAAATGACACTATTCTATCGCATCGGAGAAAATAAAACACTAATTCCCTAATGTCGTCTAACATCCAGTCCGTTTCCCCAACGTATACTTTAAAGTCTTCTATGGCTGTTTTTTCTAACCAGGGTTCGAGCGTACCTTAGCCTTCTTTTTGATGTGCTTCAGCAAGGGCTGGACTGAGTGGGGACCTGGCTGAGACAGTGCCCCGAAGGAGTACTTCTTCAGAGGCGGGCGATGGAACTGCCGCAGTTTGATGG